CACCAGGACCCCTGACCCTGGGGCCACAAATTTAACAATTTTGGAAGAGGGGCCCTTGCTCATCATAACTATGTTCTTTGTTAGTTTGTTTAATACACAGGCAGAGAAGAAGATTTTTAAAGAAGTAATGCATTTTCACTATATGATCTACATAGCCCCGCCCTAGCACCAGAACCCCTGACCCAAAGGCCATGAATTTCAAAATTTTGGTAGAGGGCTCAGTGATTATTATAATCATGCCAACAATTTGACTGCTGTCCAGGAGTAAAGAACAAGATTTTCAAAGATTGCATTAATTTAGGTGGTTTTAACTCCACCCTCAGGTCCGAGAGGGGGAACCACGAAATTCACACCCTTCACTCATAGATGCTTTATGCCAAAAATGGTTGAAATTGGTTCAGCAGTTTCAGAGATTTAATGATTGATTGCATGTTGTTTTACGTCCCGTTCGAGAATTTTTCACTCATATAGAAATGTCATCATACTAGTATACCGGTGAAGGGATTCAAATTTAGACCTTAACTCGGCACTCAGGGTCATTGAGCAGTGAGGGTTCTTTATCATGCCAACGCCTGCCGTGACATGGCGCCTCGGTTTTGAAGGTCTAATCCAAAGGACCCCCAACTTTCATTTCAAAGTGCCGAGGGCTTGGCGAAGGAACAGTAACTGTTGCTACGAATTTTTTATCGACTGTCGCGGCCGTGATTTGAACACACGACCTTCCGATCACGAAGCGAGCGCTCTTTCGACTGAGCTACCGTGACAGTTGCAGTTCCAGGGAAGAAACTGAAAATGTTCAAATATTTACGGACGACACACGACGAAAACAGATAGCAATAGGTCACCTGAGTGACCCAAGCGTCCTAAAAATAGGCATTTAATCAAATAAATCAGTTTCAGACCTGGCTTACAAATACAACCTATCTGGGTCGTATTTTGACTGACATGATTCCCACAATTGTTAAGCCATTGTTATATACCATTGTTAATAACATTACTATGTTTATCTGATCATAAACGATGGCTCAAGGTAGGTGTGACTGGTCGACAGGGGTGCTTACTCCTCCCAGGCTCCTGATCCCACTTCTGGTGTTTTCAGGGGTCCGTGTTTTTGCCTTGATCACAATTCGATTTCTTCCTTGGATATATTATATTGATCACTGCTTCGTTATCTTCACCTTTTACACATATATGTATATTTTATATATATATACTTTTTGAAAGAGAATTATAGAAGAAATGTTAACTGCCTTCTTTACGTTCTAGATGACAATGAGGAGACATGGTTCCGTTGTTTTCCTTTAAAAAAGCACTTTGAAGACGAGTCCAATAGTCACATAACACCCTCTGTGTGAATTTAATGTGATTTTTACAGAACATAAATAATAAAGGCGTTCATAAGCTTTGTTTATTTGATAAGGTTTGGCAAGCTTTTGTTGTTATGTGATATAATTTGAGGTAGGTATCTTTCTACAGTATTTATGGAATATTTACGACCTGTTTTCTTTTGTCGCTTTATCTCGGAATCAACCATAAAACGGAACAGAGGTGACATTTCGACCTCTTCAGCTGCGGTATATTTGTCCGGTTGGATTAATTATATTCTCGTATTTATCATAAAATTCAACAATTCACATACAAACTTATAAATCTGACAAATATTTTACAGTTTTATTTGCACCATAATAATATGAAAGGTTTGCTTTTTGGAGAAGAATAAAAGCACAGGAACATAAACCGAGAAAAATAATAACCAATAAGCCCTACAAGATCGTCCTATATGAAATGACGTATAATATTGCTTCAAAATCATTACTTTGTAAACTTGTTTCTTTAAATTTAAACATTTTCATTTTGGATATCTTTTTTAAAGCTTGCTTCCTAAAAATATGGTCAAGATGAAATTGTTAATGATATGAGCATTGGATTCCTGTCTTTCGATTGCTTTTATAAGCTTTATGCATTAGTGTTTACGCAGGTAGATTTCTTATATTTGTATTTTTAAAAAATGAATTTTAAAATTTAAAATTTTAAAATTCTTCCTGAAGACACCTTGCAAAATAGCAGCATATATAGGTTAAGATAATTGCATACTTTAGTACATGTGTATAATTATGCCATTGTAAAAGTACAGATGATCGCAAAATGCAACATGTATATTAATAAGAATTACATACGATTTGTAATTGATACAGAATATTATGCAAACTGAGTTTGACACATGGCTTTGCATGATTCAGCATCTTTGCTTCTCATCTATCTCTGATAACATCTGTTCTAGCAAAAAAGAATGAAAGTAAGCAAACGGTATAACATATCACAGCGCAAACAAAGCAAATCACGTGACACAACAATAGCATTCCAGCTATTGCAGCAAGGTATGCCTGGGTGGATTTACATACAGAATAAATTCAGGTTAAGAATGAGGGTCTTCCATTAAGAAAGAATTTTCATCACAATATGGTAAAACAAATGCTAGTACTTTTCTAAAGTCAATAAGCACATTTTTGTGTTTTATCTTTTTACAGGTGGAATTTTGTTTGATAACATAGCAATTCAAAATATACAGGTTTCATCAATAAATTATGGACAACAACAAAAACTGTGTTATCAACTTGTAAAGGTAAAATAACATCACCCCCCCCCCCCAAAAAAAACAGATTTGTATCAATAGTGACCATTTCATCAATTAAAAACAGGCGGTTAAAAAAGATTATTTCTAGCATAAGAATAATTTTTACAAGCAAAAGAGAAGTGACAAAAATCACATATCGCTGTAAAGACTAGCAATCTTAACCGCACCAAGACACAACTCTTCCCAAGCTCTGAACACTCAGAGATACACACACACTGCCAAGGATTCTACCGGGATATGTACTTTCTCTCTCTCTCTTCATATTCATTACATTTTTAATCGTCTTAGGGACTCTATTATTTTTACAAAAATCATTCTTTTACACAAAGATGGTCAACGATACAGAATCTAATTGCTACCATCCCTAGCTAGTTAATGGTTCTGCTAGAATGAACAACCTAACATACCCCGGGTTTTATATACGGTGTTTTGATGGGACGGTTCGCACCTTTGCCTTTACGGCGAAGGTGCTAAGGCAAAAGTGCAGAGAAGATGGGAATGCCAAGGAACTATATCGCTCTTTCGCCTTCATTCTTTCGTATCTTTGCACGTTCGCCTTCGCAACTTCAAGCTTCCACTTTAACAAATTCGCACATCTCTCTAACAAATCACTAGGTGTCTTCCCTTTATTTTCTGCAGATTGCATTATTTAAAAAAAAATTGCAAATACTTAATTGGTGTATTCTATGTATTAAAACCATTTTCTTTTTCCTAAAGTTATGAGAAATTTTGAGAAATTGTCCCTTCCCGCTCTTTCAACTTTTTGGCCGACTATACATGTTAAAGTAACCCCTTTTCTAGCAATCTCCATCCCCCTTCATAATCACTGCTATACAGGCCTGTATTTCCAACTTTTGTAGGTTTTCAATGAAATGTATAGTTTTATCAACTTTATACATCCATCGTGAACTGGCGCATGCGTACACAGAAACTTTCGAAGGCCAAAACGTGACAGCAAAAAGACGCCAAGACGAAAGGGCTAGCAGCAATACTAATATCTCCTTCGCAACTTCGACCTAAAGGCGAAGGTGCAAGTGGACCAATCGAAACACTTTATTTTTGACAATTCTCAAAAAAGTATTTAAATCTTACCAACCCATAGTCAACCATTCATGGACTTGCTAAAAAGCTAATTACAAAGTGAATCTGAACAAAATAAAACATACCAGGTATATTGTAAGCTAATGTATTGACGAATTTATCTTTCTGGTTATTAATCGTGAATATGTTTACTTCTTCATCGAGTTTTTATGATAGGATAAATCACCGTCAAGTTTGACAAAATCACACTTTCACATATTTAAAACACTTTCACATATTTGATACATTTAATATTCTTTAACTTATAAAGTATATAAAAAAAATTGTCTTGCAAAATTACACAACGCGAATAATTTTCAGCTCCTAGTCTCCAAGTTTTAAAGCAATTCAAAGATCCCTAACATGATTTTTGTGTATTTAACAAATTACTAAATTCCTTTTTTATTATCAAATCTATCTTTTATCAAGAAAAATAGAGAAGTTTCCAAGGACAACCACTGATTTTAAGCCAGTCTGTCAAAATCAGTCTAAGGTTTAAAAATAATGGGAGAAAAAAAAATAAATGTACAAATTTCCACAATGGGAAGGCACAGAAAGGTCCCCGTTGCGTCAAGTTATTTGATATCATTAAAATGATGGAAAGTTCAAGTGATCGTAAATAAAATTCTATAGTTACGTATTATAAGTACAATAAAATGGTAAAATATTCACATTAAATAAAATCAAAAGGTGTGTAACGGCTTTTAATGAGATGACATAAGATTGGGTTTCGTTTTTAATTTGGCCGCTATCTAGCTTACTTTTCAGTATCACATTGCTGTCACTCTGTTCTCTGACAATGAACATCCATACAACTTTGAAATCATTTTTGTACGTCTTTGTGATTTTATCAAAATTTTATCGACATTTTTCACGTGCCATTGAATACCTTTGCTAATTATTTTCGGCAGGGTCACGGTTTACTCTTCCCCTCCTCTTGCTGCTTCACGTTACAACGACGTTTACAAAAATCTAGTTTATAACAGCTCAGAGAGGAAGTCAAGAGACAAACTATGTTCTACCTAAAGTACATCCAATCTTTGTTCAAAAATTGTACTGCAAGCTTTAACAAATCAACACTAAAATATAATTAAGTTACAACATTCTTTTGTATATATCTCAAAGTCAATTTGCCGTACCTGATTTAGCACTTCTGCTGTGGAGTATGTTCATCTCTTATTGTCTAAGATCAGAAATGGCATCCTTCTTTCAAAGGAAGATGAGAATTAAGTTTGACAAATAAAGATATAAATGTACCTGCTCCAGCATAGATAAATTGAATCAATAATATTGCAGTTTTTATTTAAGTAGACATCTTAAAAAAATTACAACACAATATAGTTACAGAAAATATCAACGTCATCCACCGTAATTTATGCCCCCCCCCCCCCCCCCCGACATTTACAATTGCATTCATTTCAGTTAAATGGGTGCTATTTTAGTAAATAAAACACATATACTACATGTTTCATTGAGAAAATCAACTTTTAAACTTTGACCAGTATTATTTGAACTCTGACAGTACCATATCTATACTGTCGATTTTAGCCTAAGACTCCTTCACTCTAGGTTGAAAAGAGTCATAACTCTTTCATTATTTACAATGAGCGCTCTGAACTTTAACAAAAGTAACCTCCCCAAACATCAATATCAGTGTATAAAAGGTACTTTTACAATAAATTAATGAACTGTATTCTATAAAGTATGAACAGAATTATCAAAATCTTACTAGTATTTTATATTTTAATCATTTATACATGTATACCACCAAATAAAAATATGAAGAGTTTATATGATGCACACATGGAAGGATCAGGAATAAAGTCAGCTTTTTAAAAAAAAAAATTCTTTATAGTTAAAATCAGAATTTAAAAGGCATCATGAAATTCATGAAGTATTAAAGTTTTTCACTAATATTATCTGCTACTTTGAACACCTCATTTCTTGTGTTGTTTCTTCTTCTTTCTTTTCTTTTTCCTTTCTCTTTCAGAATCAGAACTGTCTGATGATGATGATGACGACGACGATGATGACGAGTCACTGTCAGATGATGATGATGATGATGATGACGATGAGGAAGACGATGATGACCCTGAGCTGGAATCCTCATCTGAGGAGTCAGAGCTGGAATCACTAGAGGACGAACTCGAAGAGGAACTGACTGACCTGTGTGTGTCAAAGAAATACATGTATCATTATTATTATAATATACTGCATTTATAAAACACCTTATCTAATTATGTAATTACCCTAGAGCACTTAAACATGTAAAATAAATACAATACAAAACGAAGAAAATCAAATAAATCAAAAGGACATAAAAATAGTAGCAAACTAAAAATCAAATAGGAATTAAAAGTGAAGGATTTTTTTTCTTCATTTTTTTAGAATCAACTTGATGCCGAATTATTATATTGTAAATCAAAAGCAAATTTATAAAGATGTATTTTTAGCTTGCACTTATGTTGGTTAAAAACCTGTTTTTCTCTTTATTTCTACAATGTTGGCATATAGCCATATAAATATTACTAAAAAATTTAAATGATGATAAAATGTATATAATAAACTTCTGAATCACACAGGTTCTCATTTTTGCAACTAAAGTACCTTGTACACTAATTTATACATGGTTGTAATCAAATCTAGGAGATATTGTGTACCTTCTTCTTTTCTTCTTTTTTGAATCCTTCTTTTTCTGTTGTATTGATGTGCAAATATTCCTGTAAATACAACAGCTCATTACATAGTCATGTGTTGACACAGCATGGTGCATGTATTCACTAAATCACTTTCAAATATTATACAAATGTAATCCTTCTATGAGGTTAATCCATGGATATATCAACTTCACAGAAAGGCTATCGACTGAGTTTGAAGTGCAAAGTCAATATGCTTTTATTATATTTTCTATAAAATAAATAAGATACAAAAAATTCATCACATTAGAATTTGTAAGTTTTAAAGAATATTCACCACTATAACTCATCTTTGGATTTTCTCGGTGCTATTTTTAGTAACTCAAAAGAACATTGTTAAATATAATTTTTCACACATTTACAAAAACAATTCTATATATTGAGTATTATATGTAAAAATACTAATTTAAATTACAGAGAAAAAACACTTATAACAAAGTGTCAAGGATGAAAAAATTTGCTTCGTTATAAGCGTAATTTGTTATCCGTTAATAAAGTGTTCAATACATTTTTTAGTCAAGGGGAATGAAAATCACTTTGCTATAAGCATCAATTCATTATAAGCATGTTCCCTATAAGTGTGTTTTACAATATTGTATTTTGTCTAGCATTTCTTAATCTCCTTTAAGGTTTTGCCAAAGGTCAAGATGTCCAAAAATTTAATTTTGCAATAGCTCCAAAAGTATGTGAGGTATAAAGTTAAAACTTTTACAGTTTATAAATATATCATTGATTAACAGATAGCAAGTATCACTTGAAAACAAATATTTTTTAAAAAATATTTTTTGAGAAAAAAAGTTTCAAAAAAATTCGCATATTTTAAAAAAAATGCACCTGCTTAATTCTGTACTTTTAGTGAAAACCATCATTGCAGAAATAATATATGTTTATCAATGAAGGGCAAGTTGGACGTGAATGGTCTCTGAAAGGCTGTTATTGAAAGCATGGCATGTATAAAGACAAGACCCCTATAAAATCCGCCATTTGCAATGTACTTTCGGTTTCAAATCTTAACATTTGGACAAAATAAACAGGGAAATCAACTTTCCAGAGGCTGTCGAAGTCCAACTTGCCCTTCATTGATAAACATATATTGTTTCTGCAATGATGGCTTTCACTAAAAGTACGGAATTAGTTAGGTGTATTTTTTTAAAATATAAGCATTTTTTTAAAAGAATTTTTCTCGATAAATATTTTTTTTAAGTATTTGTTATCAAGTGATACTTTCTATCTGTTTATCAATGATATATTTATAAACTATAACAGTTTTAACGTTATCAACCACATAGTTTTGGAGCTATTGTAAAAATAAATTTTTGTACATGTTGACCTTTGGCAAAACCTTAAGTATTTACGGTACCTTTTATAGTAAGCTTAGTGCATCAGAACTTACAATAACTCTGCTTGCTTTTTTTCTTCATCCATCTTCATGCGTTTTGCCATTTCCTTTGTTCGTGACACTCTGTGGACATATTTTCGCTTTCCTGTACACTCGAATGTGAAGTGACCTTTCTGTAGACATTTCTGACAGGTAAAATTCTCTGCACTGGGCTGCCTAAAAGAAAATCCATTACACACAATGTACACTTTTAGCAAGAGCATCAGATAGCAATATGGTAGAAAATAACTTTTCATCAAAACACATTAAATATTGATCTAAAAGAGTAATGAGATTAATAACAAGTCCTAAATTAAACGAATGAATCAATAACTATTTCACTTACAGTAAATGCTTTATTTAAAGTTTAATTACTTCACTGTGTTTTTAAAAGGAGCAAAACTTTCACTTGCAGCTACCCCCATTAAAATAAACAAAATCATACATGCAGTACAATTAAGAAAAATGCCTACTGTAAATGTGGATATGTTTATCTGGATGGTTAATTCACTGGTTAACTTTTATAAATTTTGTGACCACAATTATTTGGGGCAAGAATAAATCCAACACAAAATGCCATCAATGAAATTGTAAATGATCGAACTATTTTCATAAAAATAAGCTCAATCGATTCAGGAGGTTCTGTTAACAAAAATTCCCTTTTTTAGTCTTCTTCAAGATAGTGTAGATCACCAATATTTTGCAATATCTTTTTTAACAAGATAGTTATTTGGTATTTTTTCAGCAAGAAAAAATTTTCATGTGGTATATAATCTTAAAGGATACTTTCATTTTCACTGTTCCCTACTTCCAAAACATTTCTAAACAATGATTCGATCGCATCAACATTTTGACTATCTGAGGTCTCAAAGTTTAAGAAAACATAGAATTTCACAAACAGTATCAAAATGTGCAGAAAAATTAAAGACTGTGAAAAGCAAAGTATACATTTCAGAGATAGTGATATAACATGATTGAAATTTGTTATACTAAGTGGACAAAAATTTGTGGGCCCCAAGTGGGCTGGTGAAACTTGTAAAGCAAGCCAGTTGCAACAGTTTCAAAAAGGGGGGGGGGGGGACTTCCCACAAGATATGACAAGCAAAAAAAAAAAATTAAAAATTAAAAAAAAACCCTTAACTGACCAAAAGTGCTAATTTACTGTCCAAATCCTGGCCCCTGGGTCATAAAACTTAGAAGTGCTCATTTTGATCTCAGTCTACAATATCTCTATCATTAATTCCTTTTGTGAAAAAGTGAGACCGAGGATATCAAAAGTGAGCACGTCTAAGTTTTATCACCACGTAGCCTTGAATTTGCCAGTGCTCGACCTTACAACATCAAAAAGTAAAGGAGGGGCAACCAGCATCTAAAGGAAAATAATTTACTATAGCAAAATACTATACTCAGAAAAAAGGGGGGACGTGCGGGTCCCCTCTGGACCCCCATGTTCTACGGGCCTGTAAAGTAAGAGGCCCACATTGCTCCTAAGTTTTTTAAAGTTATTTGAAACACTGCTAAGAGTGTATTGATTCTATTAGAATTGTCTAACTGCATTTTGAAACGGGCTCTCAACGCAGTGAGACAGCCTCACAGGGAGCTCCTACAAGTTAGAGTCTCAGTTAACATCCCTACGCTCCTTACAAACCTCGCCAAGTCAAAAGTATCTTGCCGTGAACCTCTAGCATGCTGGAGTACCTCAAAGGGGTAAGAAATCTCAAGAGAAAGAGGGGAAAGTGTAACAGTACACTTAGCTAAATTAAGGGATATATGTTGTATATCGTAACGCCACACTCCTACTAGCACCAGCTAGTGGGTTAACCCTTTAGCTTGGTCGGTGTGCTGATACAAATGTGAATCTTTTCAAACAGATTTATAGAGAATATATATAACACATAATCCACTAAATTCTCGATACAGCGGTGGATTTTAAATCTGAGTGCTGTAGTTCAAGCCAGTGTGGACACCCCCACAAGTCGTTCATATATAAATACAGTTCGTTAGTTTCACATTTTATATAGTTACGTTTAATATTATGTACATTACATATGTACAACTCCAAATAAAAACAAGAAAGAGGTCCAAGACGGCGCCCTCTCCTAACTGTGTTGTCTTAAGTTGTTAGTAAATGAATTTCCAATTTTTTCAGTTTTGATAGAACGTTCTGTATAGGTTTCTGTTTTCAAATAGGGAAAGCTATAACATGTATAAAGTAATATAAATTAAACACACCGTATGCATAACGTTGGTCATCTCAAACTTGTGGGTCATTATGTAAAAAGTTGAATTATTAAAAGTGGTTAGTTTGTTAAAAAAAAAACAAATAAAAAAAACGCTTTTAAAAACGAATTAAAAGACCACATTTAAGAAAAAAAAATAAAAGGAAAACTTACTTTTTTCTGAACGAAGGGGGTCTAGCACCGTAGGAAGCCATTTTGGGTCGGTAAATTCAAATCACCCTACGATATGGCAAAAATAATTCCGGAAATATATTTAAACATTTTTTATCCCCTGGAGATTTGAATAGAAATGCAAAAGACAAAAGACAAAAAAGAGGTACTTTTCCAAACATGCCCAAAGAGCCCTAAAAGTTGCCTTTTAAAAAATGTGAGGCCCGTTATCCAGGGACGTACATGCATACATGTACTAACCCTTAAACGTCCCTAGTCAACATTTCGCAAATTCTATGGTCGATGAAATGACCTTCTCAGCAAATACAGTCTATCAGTAAGTCGAATGTTGACTGACGTTTTTCATACAAATTGTTAGGCCATTATTTTCACAATGAAAAGTCATGATTTTTTCCGTTTGCCCAATCATGACAATTAGCACACAGCGAGTGTGACCGCTCGACAGGGGATACTTACTCCTCTATGACACATGATCCGCCTCTTACGTTATTAGAGGCCCGTGTTTGCTCTGCTCGCATGTAATTCCAGTGGACTTTGAGCTTGATTACTGTTCATTTCACCTGTTGTGTTTTCAGCACACAATAAAAATCGCACAATAGATACGTCACAATGGTTTTTGGTTGAAACTATTATCTTATCTTTCTTTTGTTTTATCGTAATCTTTCTTTTCTTTTCTTTCCCTAGCCCTAACACTGACATTTCATATTTGGATATTTTACTGATTATAGACGCTTATGACCTACTAACGTCTAAACTACATGTATATGACAAACGGGAGGACTTCCGAATCGGCTTTTCCATCGCCACTTTAATTCTTACATGTATTTTTGTAGTAATGTTCTAATATTGCCTGCACATTATGTTTAAGTCTCCCATATTATTCAGTACGTTAGAGCATTCTCCGAGTACGATCAACTTTCAAACAGAGGCAGGATACTGACAAATGAGATGGTGTTACAGGGCTCTCAACATTTCCAATCAAAGTCAGCCTTTCGAAAATTCATGGATCGTTATAAGAACCTTGTAAACAATTACACTTTTTTCTCTTTTTAATTTTGTAAGAATATACATTTTGTAATTTTAAAAACTTAATAACAAATTTACAAAAATCCGTAAAGGCCATACTTTTATTAATACGGAATATAATACAATAGAAGTGTCTTTAAAGACCAGGAAAAAATTACATGCATATTTGATCGGACGAATTTGATACATGTTCTGACAAATAAGGTAATAGTTCTGACAAGTTTGTCTTTGTTCGGATAGACAAGACATTAGAGTTTACAAATAAGTTCTTCCATCGAACAAAAATACCCTTAGAAGAAAGTAGATTAAGGTATGTCACTTGTTAGCTTTATAGTGAAGTTGGTCAGAACCTCTTATTTCAAAACTAATTTTTTTATAATTAATTTTTTTATTTTTATGAAATATTTAGTTTAAAAATGGAAATATTCAATTTTAAACTGCTCACAAAATCAAAAATAAACACGGTTTTCTTGTGGTGGAAGGATATTTAGAGAAAAAATTCTTCAAATCTACACATTTGTTAAATTTAATATCTTGGAACTTTAGCGCTACATATTTTTACTCAGATATTTTTTTTCTTTATTTCATTCTAAGAATATTAAATATAGGTTTCAATTGATATTTTTAGAAAAAAAATTACACATTCACTGATCAACCCAAGAAATAAATTAATGATAACATTTTTTTTCTAAACATCGCATATTTTGACCAATATCTCAAAATTTACATCACTGGCCCCGAATTTTTCTTTCATAATTTTAAACTACTCGATACTTCCAACCGATCAGCTTTTACATTGCAAGTCATAAAAAGCTTGATGCAAAAAAAAAAAATTATTCCCTATTTAGATTTTTAAAACCCCAATATGATATTTTTTCAGTGCAGAAAGGGCACACAATAATTTACGCGCATTAATTTGCAGGATTTTTTCAAATATTTTACCTAAAGTAAGATTATATTTATTATCATGATTACATCTAGTAAAATATTATAAAGTTTAAAGTGATTTAATCTATTTAACACTTTAAAAAAGGTCAAGTTAATTGTATATTTTTTTTCCTTCTCGAGAAACAAAGATCTAAATCACGCTGATAAATGTTCCTTAGATATGCCAGTGCAATGTCGAAAGTTGACGTAGTTTCCTTGAAATACATTTAACTTCTATTGGCTTTAAAAAATTCTATCTCCAGTATACGTTGGATTCAAACCTCATGGGTACTCAACCTCTTCCTTTTCTTGAGTGCTAAATGTCAATTAGAATGCGTTGAATACATTATAATTTTACCATATATTATATTCTATGCCTGTAAGTAGAGAAACAGACGCGTGTATGGGGTTGGGGATCTAATAAAGACTTTACTCATTGTACAAAAGAAGTGTCTCTAGACTAATTATTATGTCACTTGCACTAATATTCAATTTGAAACCCCTTGCCCATTTTTCAAGTACTTCCTTTAAATATTGGGATGCATTTTGTATAAAAAAGAGGGGAAACGAGTTTATTTGCTTTCTGTTTTATTGTTTCAAGAAAATTAAAGTAACATTTTCTTTTCAGTCACAACACCTGGAGCTATGCTATAAAGAGGAGTTAAGAATACTGTGATTCAGTAACCTTATACGAGGGACACTTTAGCCAATCATGCAGGTTCTCGGAGGATACAGATGGCAATTGTGAAGGGGACTCCAGGTGCCCGTTAAAATGGTCACGTATAACTGTAACTCACAAGTATTGTTTGTCAGGGGGAGAGGCGGTCGTGTGTCGGGCACGGACAGATGTCGAGGGGGCGCGCAAGGTCACGAAATCAGGAAGGACTTTTACAGTGAATAGTTCAGGTTATGTGCGGATGACAAGGGTCTCTGAAACCCCCTCTCTGGGTAAGTAATCAGTAAACTAAACTGTATATCTTGTTTTGACCTTTGATTAAATGGCATTTTATCATTATCGTCTTTTCACTTCTATGCAAGGAATACAACATTTTGTCGTATAACAATCGTTTTTTTTAAAATTATTTCCTATTTGATGATTTATCATAGTATGATAGTTCTTTTAAGAGAGCTATTCACATTAAGTTCATAGTTGGCTTAGTTAAAACACACAGCAAATATAAATAGATTTAAATAAGTCTTTTTGTAGCATATCCCAATTGAAGAGAATGTTATCTAATGTCTGATATAATATAACCATTAAAGTAAAGCTAAGGTTTCCTTGTTATGATGCATTGCTTTTATTTATATTGCAAAGGACAAGGTATGGTAACGGCCGAATCTGGCCCCTTAATTGATGTAAAAATCAGAATACAGTTAAAATTGTGATAGTTTGTAGTTAAGAACTTAAAATGATGCTTGTTTTAAAACCAGCACTAATTTTGATTCAAAGCTTACATGAAGGCCACAAGAGGGTGCAGAAGTGAGACATTTTCCAGAATTTCCTCAATTTTGGCCGAATATCGTCAAATTTGAGATACATTTCACTTTGGGAAACATAGAGCACAAGCTTGCCTATCTGAGATTTTAATACAGAAGAAGCATCTGATACTAGTGTATGAAGTATATCAATTTGGTAGATAGGCAAACTTGTGCTCTATGTTTTCTGAACTAAAATGTGCTGTAAAATCGATGAAAATTTGCATAAAAGTGAGAAAATTCGGAAATTTACATATTTTCTGACCTTCCTGTGACCTCTGTGTATCCCATAATTTAGAAACAATGCTCATTTTGTGGCAGAGATGACAACAGGTTTTTAATTGATAAACTGTTGTATCATTCTAAAAGACACCCCAAATCAGGGGCCAAAAGAGGTTCTTAGCCTATATCTTGTCCTTTCTAGCAGATTCAAGTTTATTTTTCCTTTATAATCTTTCTTGACTTTTTTTTCGTTCTTTAAAAATGATTTACAGTCGTACGAAAGAATTGTTTTAAGCATCATATATATATATCTATCTGAAGATAGAATGAAAGGCCTAAATCTTTACTGAGGTTTTTCGTGTTTTTCTTCTTTATTTATATATATATATATATATATATATATATATATATATATATATATATATATATATATATATATATATATATATATATATATATATATATATATAACAGTATACAAGCTCAAAAGTCCATTGAACAATACAAATTTTGGAGCCGAGCAAACATGGACCTCCAAAACATCAGAGGTGGGATCAGGTGCCATGGAGGATTGAGCATCCCCTGCCGACCGGTCACACCCGCCGTGTGTTCCTTATCATGATCGGGTAACAACGGAAAAATCCGTCGACAACTCAGTGTGTAAATAATGGCCTAACAGTTAGTATGAAAAAACGTCAGTAGCATTTGACTTAATGATAAATTGTATTTGCTGACAAGGTCATTGTATCGACCATATAACTTAGGAAATGACGACTTTAAACGAGACTGCTGATATTTTTGTTTCATCAACTTGTTTGTCAATAACTTACGTTTTAGAAATTGTTCATACATTTTAAAACAAAAAACAAAAACATATCGCTCGCCCAAGCATGATGGTGTCGGGCAAGCTATTTAGATTTATAATATGTAACATTGATTTATATTTTATATGACTGAAACCATACATACCCTATTTATGTAATTTTTAAGGAACAATTCCTTCAGTCGGCCCAGATTCAGATAAAGTATATTTAGATTAATTTAACAGAATTAAAGGTGTTAATAGGTCTTTAAATGAAATTTTACTAATTGTAATTGAAGATTCAGAGCTCCAGAAGTGATTTTTTTTTCTTAGTATATGTACATCTAACACAGAGAACGTACACACTGGCTACCAATGCACATTAAAATCTTTTGATGAAATGTGAAAATAATGAACGGTAATCAAGCTCAAACATCCAGTTATAACATTACATAGAGAAATGCAAACACGGACCCTTGGAAACATCAGAGATGGAATCAGGTGTACTAGAGGAGTATTCATCCCTTAAGCCCTTTGTCCTGATCGCTAAACGGAGTAATCAGTAGGCAAATCAGTATTAAAATAATGAGCTAACAATTTGAATTCAAAACGTCAGTCAACATTCGAACTAACGACAGGTTATATTTGCATAGAATTTGAGAAATGTTGACTTTGAAGTAGATTATTTGTACCCTTGTAACATGAACGTTTTTGTAAATAGATTGCCTCGTTTAGAAATTGATTACACGCAGGTCATGGCGTATAAAATTAACTGGGAGGAATAACATACATGTATATATAATACTTAGAAAATTGATACATTTTTAAGAAAAATAAACAATAAAGTTTAAGTCATCACGTTTATCATAAGATTTAGTTGATAGTTTTCCATCAAAGTCTCATCCAAATATGAAACAGATGTTTCAGACTATGTGTCTTTTATTTCGAGTCAAGTGGTATAACATTTGATAATTTGTGAATCAACATTTGAGTGAAAATGAATATTGTTCTTCGATAAAACGTCGTCGGTTTATCTAATGTCGAATTAAAGGCCAAAGCAAGAGATATTTTCATATAGAAATTGTCAATGAATTTTGCTTCATAAGTACTAGAACAGGTCTACTAATAATTAAGTACCTTATGGAATTCTAGTATATTGTTGAAAGACCTGGCCCCAGGATCATGAAATAGACTTTTCCATTTCCTTTAAAATATTTAATAATTATTGAAATAATCTCTTTATTTGCAGATAACGACACTTTTGTTAAAAAATATTGAAAATTAGTTAAAGTTTGGTCTGCTTGACTTATACAATATTTTAGTACAACATAAAAATTTTGACTTAAGCTTAAGATGTTTCATGATCCTGGGACCAGGGGTTCGTTTTACAAAAGAACTTACGACTAAGACCAAAATTTAAAACTTTCTTATTTACATTATATTGAAAATGGTTTTAATCTTTTAAAAAGGAATGTAGTAAGATATTTTACGCTGGCAATTTTAAACAGGATCTTTAATTTTACAAAATTTTACAATCAACTAAAGATTTTTGGTCTTAGTCGTAAGTTCTTTTTTAAAACGGGCCCCTGGTCTTCAAAGATTATATAGATATTGTCAATGAGGAAATTTTACATCTATTAAATATCAACTTCAGAGTACTTATATGTAGAATCCTAGTGACTTTTTTTTAACAAAATAAGTTTAATTGTAGTTGACCAATCACAAGAAAAGAAAATTTCCGAGTTGCACTTTTGTTGAAGAAGCAGTTGTATATGATGTCAAAAAGCCCGCACTCATTTATCTTGAGGAATGGTTGTGCAAAGTGTTGAAAAATCAAACGTTTTTATTCTATTGATTTGGGCAAAATTTTCTGATTTCAAACTTTCTGAAAATTTAAATCTGTAGAACATGACACAGTCCTTAACCTCTCTCTTATACTTAACTGAAAGGGTTTTGTTTAAGAGGGATAAAAGGGTACTCGGTAATCATGGCCTTAAACAGTTTTGTTAACTTATAAAGGATAACTGGAAATACTGAAGGCGACCCCAAGACCACAACTTCAGGTACTAAGTAAATGTGAGGCCAAAATTAAACTAAACATGTAAAGTTAACCTTTATTTCGAGAGTGGAACGCTCTATGCTTGCAGAAATCAAAATGATCGATGATTAGGTGAAATATGATTTTTTTTTTAAATTGAAATCTGTTCCCCAAAAGTATCTATAAAATGATTTTTCTTATAATAATAGTAATTTAAGCCAAATAAGAGGACATTACATGAGATAAGATCTCTTTTTACAGCCCATTTAAGAATTTTCGGATCCTAATATATGCTCAGCATTTTTGAAACCAATAGCACAAGTTCATAGAAGATAAGTAATTGCCTTCAATAGAACTAGATCCTAATACGTATCAGATTGAAAATAATATGTATCATATTGAATATATTTTTGTTTCATATCATTGTCAGCAATTTTTAAGCTTTGTGTTCATACTCCCCCCCCCCCTTTTTTTTTTGGCTACTCAATGCTACGCACTGAAAATAAAAATTCCATGACTTGCGAGATTCTCTAATTATCAATAAGAATATACTCGTGTTTTACCAGGATATGAAAACAGGTGTTTCTGCAGGGGGAAAATGCTTCATGCACGGTTACCATCGTAATAAGTGTTTATCCAAGAGAGTCAAAGATATACACATGGAATTGTGACAGATACTGACAAGATTTTCAATCTCACTGCATTCTGACAATTGCTCATCTATCTAAAGGCCTGTGATGGGTCATAAAATTTTATCAATTTTTTGCAAAGAAAACATCGATGTAGATAATACAAAGACGCGTTAATCTTTGCGTGCTCGTGACGATATCCAGACGACAGCCTGTTTTCCCCCTCAATTCCCGCGCCGACTGCTCCAGCTATTCCAGACTCCCCAACAAATAAACATATTTGCTGGAATATAATCTAACTTATGTTATGAAATTTCAATATTTTTCCCTGTTTGATAAATACTTGAACATTGATAAACTTTTACAATTTGGAAATTAGTACGAAACAGTGTGTATTCGGGCTACCTCGTTCTTTTTGGAAGATAAATTTTCGGTTTGCACCCTGTGAATACAATATCTATCACTGATTTATAGTAAATCACATAATTCTTTTTCTTGGCATTATCTGCGAACATAACAATAACAACAGGCGTAAATTATGTGTAAAAGAAGAGTACGCTGGCATTTTTATGTCAACTGAAGATTTCCAAGCATCATTGGAAATTTCTAAAACTTCTCTATTTTCAGTCCAGTGCATGCTAAGATGAGCTGTCAAGAGTTTGTTGATTTCATCTATTCTTTTCAAAGACTTAAAAGTTTATGTAATTGCGAAGTTGACCATTTCTCGGCATTTCCTTCAATAGAATTGCAGAACCAGTGGCATTCTCCAGTCTCCACTGTTTAGCTTCCACCGACTCCCAGAAAAAATCGAGTTTCTTGAAAAAAAAATGATGAATGGCAGAAGTTGAAGGATACACATATCAAAAGTATGTAATGGTGTGTGACAATTCCTGGTCTGTTTTATGGCCGCCAACATGCGGTTAGAGTACAGGATCTGCTGCTGGAGAGATATAGTGGGCCACCAGATCGATGATAATCCACTAAATGTACTCTATAATCTGCACAGGATACGAAACCTCACTCACAGATTCCCGCCAGGAGGGTCATCCAAAAATGATTATCAAAGCATTTCAAAATTCTTACTTCCCACTAACATGACAACCGGCGTGATCACGCCTAAGTTCGACGGCGCAAAAGAACTGTCTTATTGCTTTTTCATTTGACGCGATTTTTTTTCTTTTTTTTTCGATGAATTTTATTACAAAGAGTATGGAAAAGGACGATAAGAGTTAGTCTGCTTCGAAACCTAGATAGGAATTAGTTCAAGCGCGTCACTTGCTTGGCAGTTGTTATTGATGCACGCGCATGCTTGCGCGCTGGTCAGCTTAAGAGTCCAGAGATGTGTTAATATGCCACTAGACTTCATTTATAGAAATGATGAAACAATTAATTTACTTAGACTCCAATTTTTGTAGAAAATGGGAGGAATATATGTTGGACTAACACTCATGCTGACTTTCAATATGGTAAGTTTAACATTTTGAAAAATGATTTTTTATTTTTTTTTTTTTTTTTTTTTTGCATGTTGTGATTCATTCAGTTTTTATGTAAGTTTGGTTTTTATAAAGAACAGTCAATTCAACAAAGGCCCGCAAATTCAAATTTAAATCATATTTTCAAAAACTGTTTGGGGTACATTCTTTAAATATTTGAAAAGTACATGTACAGAGATAAAATATTTTTCTTTAACAAAACTAATATTTTTCATGCACAAAAGAACTTTTGTGATTTCGTTCATTTAATCCCAAACAATATCACTAATCTGAAGAATTCAATTGTATCCTTTCATTGTTCAATTGTTAATCTCCTAAAAATATGGATTCACAAGATTATTCATTTTAATTCTTTCAAAGAAATTAGTGGAACAAAATAAAAGAAAATTTGTATGGAATGAAAGATTCTTCTTAATTAAACGAGTTTCCAGGTGTCTTGCTTGAATTTTCTCTCTCATTCTAAAATAAATTCATACTTTAAAAATCATTTCTTAACAAAAACTCCGTCGTTTTAAATTACCACTAATAATGGACGATGCCATTCCTTTTTTATCACAAGCCATGAGTATTTTAATGTCTCGTCTTGCGCTTTTGGGATTTTCATTCTTTTTGTTTTCTTTGATTGAATGCCATTTCGTGATTTCTAATCTAGCATTTTCTTAGCATGCAATTAAACCTTTACAGTGAAAGAATTCTTACGTGGGACTAAAGATAAAATTGTCATTTGCAATTGGTCTTATTTCCACGCCAATTTTGTTTACATTCTAGTGTAAATAATGCGGTTAGACGGTTTATTATATGAATGAATTTATCTTTCATTCCTGCTACTATTTCACACCTGAAGAGGAAGTGATGACGTAATTATTATCTATGATGGACAATACATGCATTCTACGCCTAACTCCATCCAACTTTATCGTCTCGTTCTGTTTCTTCCTCGTATCTATTTTCTAACACTATGTATAATGCAAACCTTCTACCAACAAAAACCAGCTGTTTTGTCTATATTTTTGATGCTGTATGTATAACGAGCTCATGGATTGGTGATAATGGGTTTTATTCTGTGAAATTAAATACAAAGTGGGATACATTAAAACTTTTCCAGCCGTATAATTTTTTAAAACTTCTTTTGTTTTATGTGTCTTGCAGAGGAAAAGGCGAGATGATGGTAACAGTACAAAAAGTCAAATGCTGGAGCTTTGAGTTTGATTTTTTGTCCTGTATATTAGATGAATTCGTCTTAAATGTCATCGCATTAATTTGACCAGATGGGAGATGTTTTGATCATATGCATATTAGAATGATAATAAATGAATTGTCTTTATATATTTCTTTTTTGAGAGAAAGATTTTATATAGAAGTTTCTTTCATTGTAACAACTTTGTACCTCAACATTATCTCATTCTAGCTCCCTGAGTCATGGTTTAGATAAGTCCTATCAAATTGTCAAATATTCTCGAGAATACATGTATTTTTAAGGATTTTTCATAAGTAAATATTATATACTTTGATCGGACAGTAGAGACATATACTAGCTTATTTTTAACGCAAGTGAAGGTGGACTGTCATTTGTATCAGAGTGTACATTTAGAAATGGGAATGAATGACAAAGGTGAAGATAAAAAAAGATATGATAAAACCTACAAACAATTCAAATCTGTGAAATCTGTGAATTTCCCGAGGTGGAATCAGGTGGAGTAAGCATGCCCTGTCTACCCGTCACGCCCGCCGTGAGCCCTATGTATTGATTCAGGTAGACTGAAGAATCTGTAGCCGAATTTAGTTTTTAAATACAATGACGTAACAATTGGTATGAAATATGTCAGTCCAAATACGACTCAGTGATAGGTTGTATTTGCACCCTACAAAGTCAGTGCGGTCACAACAACAATAATGTATAGAAAAGAATGAAGTAACTGCAGAACTGTAGCGTTATGGTTCTATATTTTTATATCTTTATGGTCAAAGACTAAAATATAAAACCATAATGCTACAGTTCTGCAGCTAACAATGAAGATAACGAACAATAATAATGCTCAGAAGTCCAATTAATCAATAAAAAAACTGAGAGTAAAGCAAACACGGACCCGTGAAACATTAGAGGTGGGATCAGGTGCCATTGAGGAGTAAGCATCCCCTGTCGATCGGTCGCCGGGAGCCTTTTTTCATGATCACTTAAACGGAGAACTTCATAGACAATTCCGTATAAAAATAATAGCCTTACAATTTGTATGAAAAAACATCAGTCAACATTAGAACTAACGAAAGATTGCATATTTTGCAAACAAGGCCATTTTATCGACCAAAGCATTTGCAGAATGTTGACTTTAAACGAGATTGTTGATATTCTTATATTATCAACTTGTTTTTCCCTACGTAGAACATGCTGTTCCATATTAATTTGACTTTGAGACATAAACATCATATGTAGGTGATAATGATATACGAGTATTGCTACATAGATATGGGAAGTTGACAACAGAAAGAAAAAAATCATCTTGTTTTCCATTAAGTTTACTGAATAGTTTGCCATCAACTTTTTTCTCTAATAAAACATTCAACTATGAAACTGATATGCCAGACTGATGTCTTTTGAGTTCAATGAAACATATCGAATCAATATCTGAATGAAAATGAATTTTATGATGAAACGTTGTAGATATATCTAAATATCGAATTGAAGACCACAGCAAGAGATTTCTTTCCATGCAGAAGGTTTTGAATAAATTCTGCTTCGTAAAAACACAAATCAGGTCTGCTAGTACCCATGGAAATTCTAACAGATTGTAGGGAGGTTTGGTCTCCAAAGACTACATGTATATGGATATTGTGTACGAGGAACTGAAGGAGAAATATGGAGATAACGAATAGTATTCAAGCTCAAAGTCCATTTAGACAATACAAATCGGGAGCAGAGAAAACACGGACCTCCAAAAACATCAGAGGTGGGATTAGGTGCCACGGAGGAGTGAGCAATCCTTGTCCATTGGCCATACCCGCCGTGTTCTCCTTGTCATGATCGGGAAAAATCCGTAGTAAATAATGGCCTAACAATTAGTATGAAAACGTGTCAGCATTTGACTTAATGATATGTTGTATTTGCTGACAAGGTCAAAAACATCAGAGGTGGGATTAGGTGCCATGGAGGAGTGAGCAATCCTTGTCCATTGGTCATACCCGCCGTGTTCTCTGTCATGATCGGGAAAAATCCGTAGTAAATAATGGCCAAACAATTAGTATGAAAACGTGTCAGCATTTGACTTAATGATATGTTGTATTTGCTGACAAGGTCAAAAACATCAGAGGTGGGATTAGATGCCATGGAGGAGTGAGCAATCCTTGTCCATTGGTCATACCCGCCGTGTTCTCCTTGTCATGATCGGGAAAAATCCGTAGTAAATAATGGCCTAACAATTAGCATGAAAACGTGTCAGCATTTGACTTAATGATATGTTGTATTTGCTGACAAGGTCATTGTATCGACCATAAAACTTGCGAAATGATGACTTCAAACGAGACTGTTGAGAATCCCTTTAATACCAACCCAGAGTACTTGTTTATTTAACAAAGTAAGTTTGTAGATGACTAATGACAAAATATGAAAATTTGCGAGTTCCATTTTATTGAAGAAGCAGTTGTCTATAGTAAAAAAAGCCTTGTCTTAAATTTTTCGTGGTGAATGAAAAGCCATACGTGTTGACGCTACATATTTTTAGTATTGCAAAATTTTGTGATTTAAAATTTTTAAAAAGTTCTCGAATATGTTGTTAAACAGCATAGTTGAAGTTTCTCCTTCGCTGCTGTTACAGTAATACTAGTATTCTCGTAAGGATTAAAGTAAGAGGCTTTGTAGAACTTTTGCTAGATCCCGCTATTTATCTGTTTTGTAGGATTTTAATGAAGTTTTGAAATGCAGTATAGTTATGAAAATGTATATTTTCCAGAAATTACAATTCATAAGCTGAAAAAAATTGAGGTGATCGTAGACACCTATATTTTCAAAGTTGTAAAATCACATAACTAACTTATTTGGATGATGCTCTGATTAAAATCTGTAAACGCCGTTGGTTTTTATCAATTGAAGTTTACAACGTAAAATCTGTCAAGTAGACCTGGATGAAATTTCAAACTGAATCAACTTTAAATTGTTTAATGTAAAATATATACGATTATACATTAGTTTTGTTTCTTCGTTTTTATGCTCTTTTTCTGAAAAACGTGACAAAAGAAAGGATCGATAATGATGAAAATATGTTTTGGCTCTAACCTCAGTATACTGATATCTATGTCAACGCTTCAAAAATTTATGTAAAGCACAGGCCTCATCAACAAATTCAAACTAATATCGTACAAAGTTTATTTTTAATTACTTAGATATGCATGCTCTAATTCCGACTGTTTTCATATTATGAGTGATCGTCGATGTCTGTTGAAGCCAGATAAGCGTGCAATACTACTAGAAACTAATCATAGAAAAAAACATCGTAAAATTGACAAAATATATTGATTTGTTTTAGTACATTTTTGAATAAAAAAAAGATATTGCAAAAATGATGTCAAGTTTCAATAAGGGACATTTTATGCGTTTCGAATAATTTTTAAGATATTGGAAGCCAATGCCATGACAAAATCAAATATACTATTTAAAAAATGGTACGATGTGTCCAAATAATTAGGAAATTTGACCATGATAAAGAGTTAGTTTTAAAGTACGGCAAAGTCATTTTTGACGCTTGATTAATTCTGTATAAATGTGAAATTATGTCTTTTACAATTTTTATGAAAATGAATTGGTCGAAAGGTGTGAAAAAAATTCATGGGATGTCTTGCTTAAATAACTAAATTTATGCTGATGACATGCAGTCAACATTGCTTTGAACAACACACGATATATACTTGTACCCGTATTAAAATTCAGTAAGTAAATTTTACATCCATGAATACAAAAGATATATGTTAGTGTTATACGAAGAAAGATTTTACAATTTTTATCTTATTTTAAATTTTCATACATATGTATAATTTTGCCTCGATTCTTAGTGATTAAAATTTTTCCTCTAAAATTCTGGTAATTCTATACGTCCAAAATTGGATGAAACTAAATGTAATCATACTTCATGCGGCAGCGCGGATCCATTTTTTTCTAAAGAGGGGGAAGGGATTCCACACCAACTCAAAAAAAAATTCTGACTCCGAAACTCTTTGATAAGGAAAAATAACGTAAACAACGTGACCAAACCTGGAAGAAAAAAAATATTTCGTGTGTGTGTGTGTGTGTGTGGGGGGGGGGGGGGCGGGGGGAGGAGGACATGTCACTTTTTAAAGTCTATTTTCTTCAAATACACGACTTTCCTTACGATTTTACATGGGTCCGTGTTTCCTGGGTGTTTTTGTGGGGTGTGGGTTCCAGTGTCTGTTTTCTATTAAAGTTGTAACATATAACAGTTGTACGTTTAAAATTAATATGTCATTTTCCTCTAGCAATTTTCATTTTAACTTTCCACTTCAAAACGGCTCTTGTGTCTGTTAACCACACCAGTTCTGAAAGGCGCTAAATTTATAATGAAGTTGAATGAAATTAACATTTATGAAGAAAGAACTTTTAAAATTATAAATATAAGCATTGAATTCTTATTTTTGGATGTCGTCGGTCATATAACATCACTTCTCCTGACTAGGTGCTATACTACCGACGACATCCAAAAATAAGAATTCAATGTTTAATTGATCCAGTGATGCTTTGTGGTTAGTTTGTTTATAGTGAGTCTACTGGTTCTGGAGTAAAAGACAGAAATTTGAAAATAAAAAATCTACACAGAACCCATCTGTGTTCTAAATTTTCTTCCGAAAACCATTAATGATGTGGAAATCATCAATGATCCATTCTAATTTCAAAGGACACATATAGATTTATAATTTCTGACAAACTATAATGCTTAAAAACACTTGTGCATGAAACTCAGTGTTTCAACATTTATCAAATGCTTAATACTTTTTTCAGATTATTATTATGTATGTTATTGTATTTCTAAAATTTAAAAAAATTGTAGTAGGCCATATCCCTGGGGTTTTTTGTCAATTTTTTCCTTTCAAACGATAAATAAAACAAAAAACAAAAAATGTCCTTCGACGTGTAACATTTGCAGAGTTACTAAAACACATTTTTCTTCACCGACATTCAAAATTAGGTTATCGTACAGTGTATGAATCTTGCGAAAAATCATTTGTTTTCGAACACACTGAATGCTGTCATTGTCCCCGGCAGGTTACATAAAACATTAAATGTTACGATTGAACTGATCTTCTTTGATTTTGGTTTTCAAAACCAGTTTAATTTATTTTGACATAGTAGATGTCGAGTGAGAAATTCAAGAGCAGCTACTTAAAAAGAAATCAGGAAAGTGAAAAGAATTAGGGGATATCTGCTTTATCTGAGCAATATACAACATTCAACTTGGTAGAGCTTCTCCCAAGATATACACTGCTAAACAGAACAAAAAAGTAAACCAATCCATCATAAATTACACATATTTCACTCCAGAAACTAGCCGCTAATCTCGTCTTGATATCGAGTCTATGTTAACATGCACTCTGGCGATAGGGGAGATAATATCAGGCAGCCAGACCAGACGCCTGCCCTTGCCATCCATCTGCAAGTTGTATTGTTTGTACTTTGTATGAATTCAATATTCCAATGAAGAAAATTTTAAGAATTTATTGCTAGCTAATTCCTTAAGTGTCAAAGAGCAAAGCTATTCCGATAATCACTTAAATATATGTTCTGTTAGCGTGTCCTACTGTAGGGCGAAAAATTCTCACTCAGCACTTCCTGAAAGCATACATGCACCGATGATTGCGATTGCAATATTAGCTGCTTCTTCTTGTACTGTGTGACATGGCATCTTCTTTCCAGAAAAGTAATTGTTATTGAAGAGCAATTTGCACAACATTTTTTATAAATTTAATATTTTAAGCTGCTTATATTAAAGGAGTCATCGCTCGCCCAACATTGATTATAATGTAGCCACTGGTCTGGTCTAACACAAGTTTTAATTGCCATACAATACACGATCGTCTTTATTTTCAGGTTGTAGGAACGGGACGATTCGAGGTTTCAATTTTAGCAATCTTCAATGAAAGTGGACAGATGTCAGACGGAAATTGTTGTTCAGAGTCACGTGATAACGGCTCGTGCTCTTCACTTTGCAACACCTTCTTCTCTGTATGTCTCCAGCATCATTCCCTTGATATCCCAGAATTCCCTAGATGCACTTACGGACGCGTCGTTACTCCGGTTTTCAACTTCAGCGCGAGTAATGATACGATTGTGACAAAGAACAAATACTTGGTCAAAATTCCATTCCAATTTTCTTGGCCAGTAAGTATTTAGAAATGAAACGATTTAGACAATTTTGCTTATCACTCGATCTTTTTAGCTTAAACAAGGCAAAGCATTTAGAAAAAATGCATGTATTCTTTTGTTATTAGATCCGTCTTTGTTGGCTCTACTGGTCAGAAGCAGAAGAGCTTATGCGATACTAGTAGTAAGATGTTTGTGTCTGTCTGTAATGAAATATGGAGATAACGAACATTATTCAAGCTCAAAGTTCATTAAAACAATACAAATCGGGAGCAAAGCAAACACAGACCTCCAAAAACATCATTGTGGGATCAGGTGCCATGGACATGGAGGGGTGAGCATCCCTTGCCGACCGGTCACCCCCTCCGTATGCTTCTTATCATAATCGGGAAATAACGAAGAAATCCGTCGACAATTCAATATGTAAAAAATGACCTAACAATTAGCATGAAAAAAGTAAGTCAGCATATGACTTAATGATAGATTGTATTTGCTGAGAAGGTCACTGTGTAAACAATTTTACAAAATGCTTCTCCTACAGGTTTGGTCCGATTTCAATATAACTTAGTATAAGGGTGCACTACACTAACATACATTATTATGTTTGCCAGTTTTTTTTTAAAATTTCAATCAAAGATGTTGCAATGGTTACTAAAAATAGAAAAAATATTTTGTAAAATTCATTCAAAACAATACTCCTTCTACAGTCAATAAAACTTTTTACACAAGTAGACTACACTATCGCACATAATCTGTATATCTTTTTTTTATGTTAATGAATGGTGTTGCCATGGTTACTAAAACAAAATTTTTGTGAAATTCTTTTAACAAAAGGCTACTCCTGCTAAAATATTTTAATAAAACTATTAAAACAAGTAGACTGATACATAATTCGCTATGTCGGTTTTTGATTTCATTAAATGGTGTTGACATGCTTACTAGAAAGAAAAAAAGATATGTGAAATACTTTCAAAACGCTACTCCTACTACATGTACAGTATTTGCTCGATTTCATTAAACCAAGGATCATTATATTTTTTATTGCTTTTGCTATAGTATCATGTTCTGTACTACCTTTCATTTCCTTTGATAAAAGTACAAACTTCTGGTTTTGTTTTTTGTCAATGGCTTGCAATGGTCATGGAGAAAAAACGTGACTTGCCATGGAGGGTACATATGATTGGTTAAATTTTGTAAAAACTTCAATTTTCATTTAATCTCCTTCAAAATTTGAAACTCTTAATTAAAGATTTTTATTAGCATTTCTGCAACTGGCGTAAATGGTGTGCAATGAAATCAAAACTCATTATACGCATAAATTATATGTTCGAATATGCTGTTTAGACCAGTATACTAAGTAGTATTTGATTTACTGGATATTGTTATGATTTTGATGTTGTAAAGTTTTTTTCCGATCATGACAGGGAGCAAACGGCGGGTGTGACCCGTCGGCAGGGGATGCTCACTCCTCCATGACACCTGATCCCACCTCTAAATTTTGAGGTCCGTGTTTGCTCTGCTCCAAATTTGTATCGTTTCATTTGACTTTCGAGATTGAATACTGTTCGTTATCTTCATATTTCATTGATAATCTTGCGTTATCCGTCTTTCATACCTTAAGTTTTGAAGAATACAAGGGACGAGGGGCGGATAACGCTGTTTGTTTCTCCTTTGCTTAATGGAGTGATATCAGCATTTCAACAAAAATTTGAGACAATACATTCCGTTCATAAGTATTTCGAACAACTTCAACCAACAGTTACACAGATTTTATATAAGATTTTTTTTCTTTTACTCATACTATTGTTTCACTTGGCATAATGGAAACGGAAACCATCCTGTTGTAAATTTTGAATTTACCTCCACCCAGTAAATTAAAATTTTACAACATAACACAGCTGTGTTTTTACCATATAATATTTCCCTATTACTCCATTTTTCCACAATATAAAATATAACAGTAAATTTTTATCTTGTGAAATTTAGGTTTTTGACCCTAAGTCACTCGATGCTGGACAACTGTTATATCCTTGTGCATAAGTGTTCTTTGGTTCGCTAAAATAATCCTTTCGATTTTTCCCCAATCAAATCATATAAGCCTTCTATGACCCTTGCTCTCTAGTCTTTTTTTTTTTTCAACGAGTTTTTCCATAAGTTTGTCCTATCCAAGGAAAATTCGGTACATGGTATATTTATGAATGAAAATTACCAATGTGTAAGTAAAACAATTTTACAATTTACGAACAGGCGGAACTCGGATGACGTCATTTACAGGAAGAAAAAGAGAGACCGATTCGTGACGTGATAGCATCGCCCACGCCTAGTCTGAACTTATTTTCATCCGCTTGCCCCTGGTAATATCTCCTTCATTTTGTTGAGCTTAACCCTTCGATAAACTCTATCTGCTTCAATCAAAACGGGGGTTCTGTCGTGGCACCCCATACTATATTTAGTAACAGAAGAACGAGTTCGTTGTTTAATCAGTGGGTTTAACTTTAAAAATTTCAGAAAAAAGAGCGGGACTTCTGCATCTGGAAACGTTCTTCTGAGCCGCAACACCGTGTGTACAAACATAAAAGCAGGTTATTAATATTATTTATTAAAAGTTTTATCTCTCTTTTCCCGATGTGTTAACAATCTCTGGATTCAATCGGCGAAAACATACAATACACTGTGTGAGAAAAAGATGATCACAAGAAATGACTGTATGAAATGAGGAAGGGTGTTATCTTTATACCAAATGGTCACTGACATGACCGTTTGTAGTAATACATGTATATTGCATGTTCCAAAAATTCTGTAAAATGCACAGCTTACTACTGTTTAAAAGCTTTTACAAAAAAGTACTAAAGGCAGTAACATGTATCAGATAGAAGGAGGTTAGGAGATCTAATGTCAAGGCCACTATTATCAGCGACAAATCTAGGTCAGATTGGTGTTGTCCTTGAGGGAATGCAGGAACCTCAGCTGACCTTATTTGTTTTTTCCACAACTTATAAAGGTTCAGTAAAAGGGGTCATCCGTAGCTTCCGAACCATAAAAACTTGTACACGCCCATGCCATGCCACTGAGAGATACCGAAGCATTCCTAAAGCTCAAGGTTGAAAAGGTTTGACAAAGTATAGTTGTTATTCTACCCAATCATACAAACCTACTGGCTATAGCCTCATACACTCCCAAATTACAGTTTTAGCGATAAAAAAGCAAAGGGCGCATCGTGTTTTACATTCTGACATCAAGAGTGTTCGAGTAGTGACGTTTTAGTGTCCATATAGGCATTTCTTTACGTTATTTCACGTCAAAGTTTCGTGCCAGGAATTAAAAAGTAAAATCATACCTGTCATGTCACGCAATTTATCTTCAATTAATTTTAAAGCATATTTCAAGAGACTACGTGAGTGATTCGCCGAGGAAAGTTGTTTCGGCGTTGTGGTGATAAATTGTCTGACGTTATCAACTTTCCGTGAGCGCGGGGAGAGATGAATTAATTAATGGTATTTCTACATCAATTTGACGGATAAGATAATCTAATCTGATATAGTGAAAACCTAGCAAAAAAAAATCAATGGAAAAGTCAATAATTTATCTGTTAAACTTGAAAAATCTAATCGCCTCTGATACTGAGGTTAACTGCGGGTTTTAAGAAGTTGATATATACGGCATTATCGACCTTTGTGCATACTTTTTAAGTATTATGTAATTTTGAAAGTGTTACAAAAACATAAGGTGCAGTAGGAATATTTGTTAATTCTGCACCTAACAAGCGTCTTTTGTAAACAATGTAATCTTTCATCGCGTCTCTTATTTGTTATAAGAGAGAATTTAAAAAAAGTTTCCACTCACAAGAAGCCACCATTAAGCCACTGGTTTGTTATCACAATAAACAAACTCTTATAAGATGTAGAGCCCACGCAAAACATACACTGTATATATCCTCATTCATTTGTCTCAAAGTCCACTTCCTGGGCTTCGTTGTTTTTGTTTCGGGTTTCAAACATTCTCTATAGAAAAAAAACACTACTTATAAAGATATAGAAACAGAAGAAATAAAATTTTATACGAAAGATCTACTTATAGAGGCTCAAAACACTAAGGAAAAATATGTTTTTGATGTAGCAAGGCCGTAACTAGGCTCAATTTTTTAGTGAGGCCAGGGACCTGGGGCCACCCAAGCCCCAAGCTGGTCCAGGATAGCGTCCTGATGGGGTTCTCAGGGGGAGGCGGTCCCGAAACATGGGTTTTAGTAAATTAAAGACAATCTTTGAAAGTTTTGAATTATTTTTACATGCGTTCTAAACTAATAAAACGCATGTTGAGATGATCGATTTAGAGAAATTGAAACAAAAGTTTAACAGTTGTTGAAATCATTATTTTAGTACAAAGACAAACATAAGTACAATGTAATTTAAGTTCAAAGTAAAACTGTTTTCACTTTTCAGAAAACTCTAAAATTTTAGTGAGGCATTTGCCTCACTTGCCTCAGGGGTAGTTACGGCCTTGCTTAGAGAAAAGTATATCATATAAAAGTGTACGTATATTGGGTTTACCTAATTCATTTTCAACATATACACATACAGTTCCTCAGGAAAAATGAAAAAAAGACAATGATGTATTAGTCGCTTACTTATATTGGGAAAATACGTGTAGATACTTTCTCTTGATCAAATATAATGTAAAGAATTCGTTAAAGGGGGAATCTTCTCTGGTTGCGACATATTAAAATATTGAAGAATTTTGCATAAATGCCCTATATCAGACTTACATGTATTAGGAATTTATAAGACCGTTTATTTCTTTCCCTCTTACAACTGTACAGCTAGACGTACAAAGAAATTGTACACTGTATTTAAAATCTAGCAGGGGCTATATTTTTGGCGGAACAGCAACGTAGGAAAATATCACAAAATTTGCTTTTTAAAAAAAAAAATTTACTACAATTGACTTTAGTTTACAGTTTTAAACAAGATAAAGGAATTTCTGCAGTTAATGCGAAGCACGAGTGAAAATATCAAAAATTC